GTATCAAGTGTAGGGCAGTCTGGTGCTGAGTCTGCAATTCCTCCCCTCCACTCTCCCCCTAATGCAATGATGTCTCCAGGCCATCAGCCTTGACTGGTAGAGAGGACAGTGGCTAGACACCAGGTTGCGAAGGGGGTCATAGAGAAAGTTCTGGTTAAAAAAAAGTGATTAGTTATGCTGTAGGGTGTGTTGAGTTTTTGGTGAAAGCAGGGTATACAAATGAAGGTATTGACTATTTGGCCCTGGGGCTCTGCAAAGAGAGTCAGCTGCTCCTTATATTTCTGTGCACTGGCTTTTTGAGGAATAGGCAATTTGGGGTCAATGAAAATTGCTTCAAATGCTTGCTGGTGCCATCTTTCCTTTCCTTTTGGTTAGAACACTAACTGTTTTAAGCTCTCTTTTCTTATGATTGGCTCCATTCTCTAATGTACTATTAAATAGTTTAGGATTAAAACAATTGTACTAAAGCTCATATTAGTAAGTAATAGAAAAAAATGCAAGATATTTGCATATTTACATGGAAAGCGTGTTGTATGATGAAAATTTTACTTGAGGTAGATTTTATGGTAATTTTTGCATTGTATCTACTTTGAAGGAGGAAATGATATTGTCACTTTCAATAATATTTTACTCATATGTCTTTACATCTTTCCTTATGTTCACATTGATCCAAATGAAGAGCAAGTGTGAGTTTTCTCTCAGAAAAGATCTAACTATCATTGAGTTCACTTTGGAAAGCAAACTTTTCTTTGAAATTGGAAGTTGAATTAAGCAATTTTGTAATTTTTTTTTGATATTTCTTTAATATCAGGAAGAGTGACTGTTCTGTGTCTTGCCAAAGACAGCTTGTTAGAGTTGCATCCCTCGTTGGACCTCCTTGGGGTCACACTCTCCCTCCCAGGTTACTGCCTTTGCCATAGACTCCCCCTAACAATTGAAATATATTCCTGAAGTTATGTGAATTCCATAATTTTAGGGATATATTTAAAGGAACATTCTGCATTGGAAGTGATTTACCATGATATATTAGTTAGGGTCTAACCAGAGAGAGAAATGATACAGTAATTTGAACAGAGAAAATTTAATATAAAGAATTATCGGGGCTGACCCGTGGCTGAGTAATTAAGTTCGCTTGCTCCATTTCAGTGGACTGGGTTTCACAAGTTCAGATCCCAGGTACAGACCTACACACTGCTCATCAAGCCATGCTGTGCCAGCATCACACGTAGAAGAACTAGAATGACCTACAGCTAGGATATATACTATGTACTGGGGCTTTGAAGAGGAAAACAAAAAAAGAGGAAGATTGGCAACAGATGTTAGCCCAGGGCCAATCTTCCTCACCAAAAAGCATAAAAAAAAAAAAAGAACAACTATCACAAAGAATTTGGAGGTGAGGAATTGATACTAAGAACGAAAGAAAACTCTAAAGAATATAGGAATAGCAGATTTAAGAAGTAACCGTTACCCTTGAAGCTGAGATAGCCTGCGTGAGGAAGAGACTCCCCAGGGCTAAGAACTTTTTTTTTTTTAAAGATTTTATTTTTTTCTTTTTCTCCCCAAAGCACCCCGGTACACAGTTGTATATTCTTAGCTGTGGGTCCTTCTAGTTGTGGCATGTGGGACTCCGTCTCTGTGCGGTTTGATGAGCAGTGACACGTCCGCGCCCAGGATTTGAACCGATGAAACACTGGGCCGCCTGCGGCGGAGCGCGAGAACTTAACCACTCGGCCACAGGGCCAGCCCCCAGGGCTAAGATCTTGACCTCATTGGAGAGGTCATAGCTGTGGTCACTGGATGGTCGAGGAGCTGCTGTGATGTGGTGTGGTGTGGTGTGGTATGATGGAACTTGCCAGGAATGTGCCCTCTAGGGTACTAGGGAAAGTTGTTCACAGGGAGATGTCTTGCTGGAGGCACTCTGCTACAAAACCTCACAAAGAGTATGCCAAGAGAGGCTGCTGCCTGCTGGGTACTGCTGGCTGTCATGCACTGCAGGAGGCTGGTGCTGGGGAAGCCACCCGTGCTGCTGCAACAGAGCACACCAGAACCAAGAAAAAAAGAACTGTTTCTTATACTAGATCTTTCTAACACCTTTTATCCACAAAGGTTAACATCACACCAGCTGCTGAAGGAAAAATATTTGAAGAGCACATATCCATTTTCACAGAAGAGGCAATGAAGGGTGACTTTGGAACTAAGCAACAATAAATGGATAACTGGCACATGGAAATCCCTATCTATCCACTGCCAGGGTTTTGACCAAGGGTTTTAAAAGCTGTTGTCCTGAACTTATTACCAAATCAATTTATTGTTTTGGATATGTAATTTCTTTGTCTGATAACTTGAAAAGAAATTGACTCACTCTAACCACTTCATATGTCACATTTGTGCTTCACCCAGTTCTTTGAGACAAAATAATCTAATTATTTTTTTAAGTATTTTATAATTAATCATGATGGAAATTATTGTTCACAAAACCAAGTGTCCAACATTTTGTTAGAATGGGAGATTTTTAGTTTGGAGTCAAAATAGCTTAAATGTTACTTTAAATATTATAGCAAATTAGTTTTCAGGTATTTCTTGCCTCTGCACAACCATCAGATGTTAAGTAAGCTCCAGATTTTAAGTCCGGGGGACCAGGACTCAGTCATTCTTGTTTAGTATAAATTGCCAGCATGTGGCACAGTGAACGGTACATAACTGATGCTAGGTTGATCAGTTATCTGTGCATGAATGAAAATGGATAACAGCTGCCCAAGTTTGTAGGTAAACTACTTTCATCGCTGAAAAGTACAAGAAACAGTTGTGTTTATGTAAGACATTAAGTGTAGTATAAAATATATGAATATCTACAATGTGTCGTATAAGGCACATATCATATTTATTAAAGTACAATAAATTCTTTCTCAAGAATTCCCAAAATCTTTGAAAAATATAATTTGAGGGGCCACAGAAAACCTGTGAGAAGAAAATATCCATGGGGAAACCATATTCAAAGGGAAATTCCTCAAAAAGACGATGAATTTTACCAAGAGTCACATTTACAAGTTCTGGAATGCATTTCTAGGAAGTAGGTTTGAGAAACTGCTGTTATGGACATCCTTGAGAGAAAGGATTTTCTTGTTGCTGCCAGTTTCATTTGTTGAAGATATATCAATCTTGAAAGAAAAGGAAAGCTTAGAGAAATAATATGTTTATAAGTTTATATGTTAAATAGAAATGTTATAATGAAAAAATATCACTGTTAAAGGACTAAAGACTGAATTTCTACCCGATATTTTAGCATAGTAGCTGTTACTGATGCAGAATCCAAAATACCAACTAATGGTAGTCTAGTTACTGTAAAGGAAAGATATGGAAGAGAGGAGGAGAAATGAGAAAGGATTAGATAGTCATAATCTTCAAACCTATCTACCTATCTAAAGACATGGTGATATAGAATTATTTCTGTTTTCTTATAGTAATTATTTTAAATTGATATTTTCTTAATGCTATCAATAATAATCTTTTTCCTTCTTAACAAACAGTACAGTTATTTCTTTCTCATTAGTAGGAAAGGAATAATAGGATGTGGAATCTGTATTTAAGTTGTATGTCAAGTTAATTTCCTTAGCATCTTTACTTAGTGGGATATAGGTTATATATTTAATATAGTATGAATAATTCATATGAACTCATAACCTATATAACAGTGGCCATGATTGATTCTCATTTATTAGTATTTCACTGAACGTGTGGCATTATATTTTATAAAAACAACAACTCTTTGTGAATTGTCTTCTGATACTTTTGCTCTATTTTGTACTTGTTCCTCTTTATTATTTTTGTTTGTTTGTCTTTTGAGGAAGATTAGCACTGAGCTAACACCTGCTGCCAATCCTCCTCTTTTTGCTGAGGAAGACTGGTCCTGAGCTGACATCTGTGCCCATCTTCCTCTACTTTATATGTGGCATGCCTGCCATAGCATGGCTTGCTGAGTGGTGCCATGTCCATACCCGGGATCTGAACCGGCAAAGCCAGGGCTGCTAAAGTGGAACGTGAGCACTTAACCACTGCACCACCAGGCCAGCCCCTGTTTCTCTTAACTTTATTTTATTTTATTTATTTATTTTTTTTAAAGATTTTATTATTTCCTTTTTCTCCCCAAAGCCCCCTGGTACATAGTTGTATATTCTTCGTTGTGGGTTCTTCTAGTTGTGGTATGTGGGACCTGCCTCAGCATGGTCTGATGAGCAGTGCCATATCCGCGCCCAGGATTCGAACCAACGAAACACTGGGCCGCCGGCAGTGGAGCGCGCGAACTTAACCACTCGGCCACGGGGCCAGCCCTCTCTTAACTTTAAATTGAACTTGCTAGCACCTTGAAATTCTGAAACTGGAAGAATGGCAGAGAAGAGGGCAAAGAATTTTTTTTTTCTTTCTAATAACAGAAAATAAAAGCCGAAGGATATAAAAACAACAACAACAACAAAACCCTGGAGTGGCCTGCATTCCTGAAGCTGTGAGGGCATGTGGGTGATGGAGGCAGAAATACAAAGCATCTGTGTTCTGACTTGCCCTATTCAGTTAAATTATGTATTATCAATAGAAACATTTTAAGCTTGGGAACCCAAGCAAAGCCCTGTGGATTCTCTGTTGTTTGTGATTTGGAACACTAGGGGACAGCACTAAAATATTCCATAGTTGTTTGTTATTGATCACTTGCATACTGTATAATAAGTAAGAGATTTTACTGTTAAAGACTATGAATGCCCTGTTGATTTCAGTGGACGAGAAAGCACAAAGAGGAGGTTGAGCTTTTCATATCCATAATTTCAGCCTTTGTAAGATGGTGATTTGAATAATTTAGAGAAAGCTGCCAGGCTGCTTTTTGGTGGCAAGAAGATAGTAAGGCATGATAACTTAAAGAATTGTGATTTTCTTTTAAAAGTATTTTGTTCTTTTTACTCCTTGGGGGTAAATATTTTGCATAAATTTTTATTTCTAATCTTGTTTTCCAGGCACTTTGGAAAGACATGAAACGGGAGAAAGAGCAAGAATTATTCTTAATTGTTGTGATGATTCTCAGCTTCTAAAGCCTGAATCTGTACTTCCAGTTGCCTCAGAGACACATAAGCACAAAAGTATAGAACAGAAATCCTCCAGCTCCTACCAGTTTGGGCCAGTACCTTGCCCTGGTCTGCAGGTGGAGTCTTCATGTCAGGTAAGTTCAAATCAAGCTGCTACTCACAAAGAGCAATATCAACCCCGAGTAAGAAGCAGTATGCCATCATAAATATGCAGCAGTTGAATATCAGCACAAAAACAAGAACTCACAGAGGATCGCGTCTACCATACGTGTCTACCAGGGGATCTTGGGTGAATCAGGATAACTTTTTGAGTGTTCATTATGCTTGATCTAGCATTCTTTTTGACAAGATAGGTTCTGGCTTGTCAAAATTGAACCAATTTTATGTTAACTCTTGAATTCTAGGTGGTTTTCAATGGAGTGGTGGAGAAAAAACTCTATATTCTGTGGTCTGGATCCATTTTTTTTTTCAATTGAGATTAGTTGACCTCTTTTTAAAATGCTGATTGAAAATAAACCAAAAAGGTATCATAAAAACTGGGTCATTATATGGACAGTTCTTTTGATATATTCAGCATCTCTAAGATCACCAGCTCCTTGGGATTCTGAGCCTTAATTAGTACACAGTGATGGAGTTTGCTTTTATTTTCATAAACCAAATCAACCAGCTTCACAGAAATTTAGATGAACTTTATTATTTCTCCATTCTAAACGTGATATAGTAACTTAATCTAATTTTTTTAAGGGACTCTTCCATCATTTTGTCATCTGTGCCTCCAGGTTATCCTCTTATCATGTTGTTGTAACTATGCCATTTATATGCATATATCTAATGTAATGTTTTTTCATGTAAACCTATTTTCATAATATTATCTATTTCTTTTTAGTGGGTGTATTATGTTCTATCCTGTGTATTTGCTATTACTGATATGAATTATTTTCCTATAGCTTAATATGTGGATTGTTTTTTATGTTTCATTTTTATGAATAACACATCTATGAACCTAAAGATTTTTCATATTCAGTATTATTTAATTGGATATATTTCCAGAAGTGGGCTTTCTAAGTATTCATTCATTGAGCTCTGAGAGTCTAATGCAGTCATCTCTTTCAGCCCATCAGTGCACTATCTCCCTTAGTCAAGGCTGATATACATTGAAAACTTTGTAAATTTTAGATTTCTCTTTTTAAGAGTCCATTTAGGCCACCTACTTTTGTTTATACTTTCCTCCTTCAGTTGTTAAAATCAGTGATTAGGCTTCAGCTTTTATTTTTCTGTTCTCATTTAGTCAGATTGTCTTAGATTTCTCAAATCTATTTTTCATGTTCTTAACTTGAAAGAGGTCATGTTTTACCAGGACAATTTTATCAATATCATGAAAATTTAACATTCACAACTGCAGATGAAAGTCATAAGGTTTTAGTCTCCTAAGGTGGGAAATTTAACCACACATATTCTGTATTGAATGCTTGGGGTGGGGCCAACCCCGTGGCCAAGTGGTTAAGTTCACATGCTCTGCTTTGGCGGCTGAGGGTTCCCCAGTTCAGATCCTGGGCATGGACCTACACACCACTCATCAAGGCATGCTGTAGTGGCATCCCACATAGAAGAACTGGAATGGTCTGTAACTAGGATATACAACTACATACTGGGGCTTTGGGGAGAAAAGAAAAAAAGAAGAGGAAGATTGGCAACAGATGTTAGCTCAGGGCCAAAAAAAATACAATAAATAAATAAAAATAAAAGGTTGGGGTATGTAAAGCCCAGTGAGTGAGCCCAGCTGACTGCCAAGCATTCCCATCGTAATGTGATTTGTGGCTCTCTGTTCATAATGCATCTTATAATGGAAATTATATGCTAGAATAGTAGATGAGAACTTGGAGATGTCTCTTGACTTGTGGATTTAGATGTCTAGGGTCTGCAGGAACAAATCTCATTCATCAAGTGCCTATTTTACTAGTTGAATTCCCAGAAGGTAAACTGATTGCTATTTCTTTCAGTTTCTTAGAGGACCTCAGAGCTACCGTTTCGGTAGTAATAATAGTATATATAGATTTCATTTTCTTTATATAATTTTGTTTCTTTCTTGATTCCAGGAAGCAATAAAATGCTAGGGTCTTGTTTTCCTACTCTAAGGCTGACTCCAACTTTATTTCTTAGCTGCCCCGCTTTACCTTAGATGACTCCAATTTCTAACCTTCACTCTCTACAGAGTCAGAGAATTGAATTAGACAGGACCATCACCTCCTTTGTTCTATGTACTATACTTCTGTTATTATTGAGATTGCTGTTAACTACAGCTATTATTATTTCTGCTTCTCCTAAGTTATATCTTCTTCACTTATATACTGCACGTCTTCATATTTCATCCTCTTAGATTTAAGCCATTGAGATTGTTTTATCTGCATTTACAAATTTGATAAGCATGAAATTTCAAGAGTGCTTATAAATTCTCCATCCTTCTTGTTGTTAATGTAGTAAAATGCTTCATGAGTTATCATAAGAAAAACATCAATTTTAAAGAAGCGGATTTAAATCACACTCATTTTAGAAGTGGGAAAAATGAGAGACAGTAAGCCTGTGAAATTTAGAACTGTCTAAGGTTACTTTGAGTTTCAGGTTTTTTTTGTGTGTGGATATTAGTGAGACACAAGTGAAATATTTCTGGCTGGTAGAGTAAACTGTTTAAACAGAAGAGTTGCTTGTAAGATCTGTGCAGTGAGCTCTTTCTGTTTAACAATATTTGGAATTTATTAGAATACAGTTTTTGCTTTTTCTTCTTGCATTTGAAGAGTGCATATAAATTTTGGAAAAGGTTTTAAAGAGAACAACAACTATAATAAAACATTTTGAAAATGGGTCTAATTTGAAATATTAGAGGAGTTGAATTTGTGCAGCTAGACAAAGAAAAGTCTTTGGGATAGAACAGGGCAAGAGTCTTAAAGGATTTAAAGGAATACAATATCATATTAGTAATGGGAAACTGCTTTTCTCAGATTGTGCTGAGGCTAAAACAAGATAGAAACTGTTTAAATTGCAGCGGGAGGAATTTAGCTTCAAAGTAGGAAATAAACAGCCTTACTAAAGTCATGTCTATATGGCAGAAATCATCATCATATTTTAAGGAGAGAAGGTCTGTTTTCCCAGTTGGTTGATTGGTTGATTTTAGATTCTTTTTCTTCATTTCTTGTCTGTAACATGAGTAAAAGGATAAACAGGATTATTTTAACTGTCACACTTTAGACCCATTGTAGTGTCCTGAGAATGCCTTTTTTTAAAAACTGATTTTTTGTCAAATGGATCCCCAACAGCAACCTCTTGTTGCTTATTTAGAGCTGCACTGTTTAATATGGTAGCCATTAATCACATATGGCTATTGAGCACTTGAAATTTGGCTAACACATGTTAAAATGATATTTTGGATATATAGGGTTAAATAAAATACATCACTAAAATCAGTTTCACTTTTTTTTTAATTGAGGTAACATTGGTTTATAACATTATATAAATTACAGGTGTATATCATTACATTTAGATTTCTGTGTAGATTACATCATGCTCACCACCTAAAGATTAATTACCATCCATCACCATACACATGTGCCTGATTACCCCTTTTGCACTCCTCCCTCCCCACCTCACCTCTGGTAACCACCAATCCAATCTTTATCTCCATATGTTTGTTTGTTGTTGTTTTTATCTTCTATTTATGAGTGAGATTTATGAGTGAGCCAAATAGTATTCCATTGTATATATACACCCATCTTCTTTATCCATTCGTCCCTTGATGGGCACCTATGTTGCTTCCAAGTCTTGGCTATTGTGAATAATGCTGCAGTGAGCATAGGGGTGCATATATCTTTACACATTCCTGTTTTCATCTTCTTTGGATAAATACCCAGCAGTGAAATAGGTGGATCATATGGTAGTTCTATTCTTAATTTTTTGAGGAATCTCCATACTGTTTTCCATAGTGGCTGCACCAGTTTCACTCCTGCCAGCAGTGTATGAGAGTTTCCTTTACTCCGCATCCTCTCCAACTCTTGCTATTTGTTCTCTTGTTAATTATAGCCATTCTGATGGGCATGAGGTGATATCTCATTGTAGTTTTGATTTGTATTTCCCTAATAATTAGTGATGTTGAACATCTTTTCATGTGCCTGTGGCCATCTGTATATCTTCTTTGGAAAAGTGTCTCTTCAGATCTTTTGCTCATTTTTTAGTTGGGTTCTTTGTTTTTTTGTTGTTGATGTATGAGTTCTTTATATATTTTGGATATTAACCTCTTATCAGACATGTGGTTTGCAAATATCTTCTCCCAATTGTTAGGTTGTCTTTTCATTTTGATGATGGTTTCCTTTGCTGTGCAGAGCTTTTTAGTTTGATGTAGTCCCGTTTGTTGATTTTTTCTATTGTTTCCTTTGCCTGGTCAGAGATAGTACTTGAAAAAATGCTGCTAAGACTGATGTTGAAGAGTGTACTGCCTATGCATTCTTCTAGAAGTGTTATGGTTTCAGGTCATACGTTCAAGTCTTTAATCCATTTTGAGTTAATTTTTGTGTATAGTGTAAGATAATGGTCTGTTTTCATTCTTTTGCATGTGGCTGTCCAGTTTTCCCAACGCCATTTATTGAAGAGACTTTCCCTTCTCCATTGCATGTTCTTGGCTCCCTTGTCAAAAATCAGCTGTTCATAGATGTGTGGGTTTATTTCTGAGCTCTCGATTCTCACCTTTATAAACTTTTTTTTTTAATATATCTACTAGGCAGTTTAAAATTACATACGTGGTTTGCTTTGTCCTAGACAATATTTAAACAGACTAGGGATAAGCAAAATTTTTTGTAAGGGGCCAGGCAGTAAATACTTTAGGCCTTGCAGGCCAGAGTTTTGTTGTTGTATCTATTCAGTTATGCTGTTGGAGCATGGAAGTCCCCATAGGCAATTCTTACACAAAGGGGTGTGGTTCTGCTCCAATAAAATTTTTACAAAAACAGGCAGTGGACCAGATTTGGTGCTCTTTAGCTATAGTTGCCAATTTCTGATCTAAACGGTCCTCTCTAGACTTGGAGATCGTGAGGTCCTAGGAGCAATGGGCAAAATACCCAACACTTCCTCTCTCTCTAGATATCTGAAT